CGCACACACCCCGACTAGGGCAGGGGATCAAACCTGGAGCCCAGGTGTGTGCCCTTGACCAGAATCAAACCTGAGACCCTTCCGTGCACGGGCTGATGCTCTGACCACTGAACACCCGGCCAGGGCGAGGGTTCTCTCTTCAGACTCACTCTTGGTCAGCATCTTTAGATCTCGCATTTCTTCTCGGTCCCTCAGCTCTACCAGTCACTCTTCGTCACCCCTCCGAAGCACCCCTCCGCTCCTCCGAAGCACCCCTCGGGTCCTCCGAAGCACCCCTCGGGTCCTCCGAAGCACCCCTCCGCTCCTCCGAAGCACCCCTCCGGTCCTCCGAAGCACCCCTCCGCTCCTCCGAGCATTTGGGAGGCTTTGCTCTGCTCTCAATCTAATTTGTTTCTGGGTTCCCGGAATGGAGGTAGTCATTCCGTGACACAGAACGAGCTATAATTTGTTACTGAAATGATTCTGCCAAAGGATGAAAAATGAATTTTACTAAATGATTTTTTAAAAATTGGAAATGCTAAAAGTCCTTTTGTTGGAGAAAACATTAGTTCGGTGCCGCCTTGCTCGGTTTGGTTAAAGCCAGAAGAAAGCAATAATTTGCCAATGAAGGAATTATCTCTGGGCAGGCTCATAGCTCTATCTAGTCCCTCATTCAGTATTTATTGAGCACCTACTACGTGCAAGGTGCCATCAGGCGCCGGGAATACCAAAACGAGTAAAACATGCATTCTCCCCTCAAAAAGTAGGAAAGACAATAGGCTAAACAGCAGAAAATTACCACAGGGAGAAGTGGGCATTCGTGCAAAGTGTCACGAGGACACTGAAGGAGCGACCCCACACACGGCACCTGGCCGGGCAGGGGACAGAGCTGTGGGTGGGGAGGACGCAGGCTGTGGCCGGCTCAGGCCCGGGCCTCTGATGGAACTCCGCAGTGTTTCCAACTTGAAGGCTGGACACAAATCACTCATCTCTATGCAGTGAAGGAGCTCCAAGGACACAGGAAAAGGACACATGAATAACCAAATGAAGAGAAACAGCCTCAGATTGCTGTTAAGGAATGGAGAGAAAAGTATCTGGGGAACACATCCACATTATGGCTGGTCCGAGCAACACAATATCAGCCATTCTTAGGAAGCAGGAGACCCGTGAGATTCGCTCCTGCCCACGCAGTGCACAGGACTTCGTTTGCACACGTCCCAGACGCTGGGTTAGGCTTTCTGGAAGTTACAGTGGTGTTACAGATAAGTGTCACTGCCGGGTGAGGACAGAGGTTTTGGCCGTGTCAGAGCAGAGAGGGCCCGAAGTCCACAGAGGCAGCCAGTGACCTTAATAGGTCCTTGGATCTGGCCAAGTGGGGAGTCGGAAGAGCTGGGTCTGACATTAGCCTCTGCCACCAACCAGCTGTGTCCCCTTGGCAAGTTCATCCACCTTTCTACAGCTCAGTGTTCTGCCATGTAAAATGGGGAGAGTAATTGTTCCTTTCTCTGCTTACGGCACAGGGCACTTCAGAAATGGTAGACAGCACGTGCAGCTGGTAAGGAAAGGTGAGGCTCATCGGTTAGCAGCACAGTGAATGAGAATGAAACATTGTTGATGGAACTACATCAAACTAAAAAGCTTCTGCACAGCAAAAGAATCCAGCATCAAAATGAAAAGGAAGCCCACTGTATGGGAGAGCATACTTGCTAATAATGTATCAAATATGGGATTAATTTCCAAATATAGGAAGTTCTCATACAATTCAACAAAAAGAAGACAAAAGAAAGGGGGGGTGGGTGCAGAGGACCTCAGTAGACGCTTCTCCAAAGAGGACATACAAATGGCCAGGAGACATATGAAAAAAAAAAGTTCAATGTCACTAATGATCAGAAAGATGCAAATTAAAACAACTACGAGGTATCACCTCACACCTGTCAGAATGGCTGCCATCAACAAATCATCAAAAACAAGTGTTGGCGAGGGTGTGGAGAAAAGGGGACTCTAGTACACTGCTGGTGGAAATGCAGCCACTATAAAAAACACTATGGTGTTTCTTCAAAAAGTTAAAAAAGGACTTGCCATTTGACCCAGTGATCCCACTTCTAGGAATATATCCTAAGAAGCCTGAAAAACCAATCAGAAAGAATATATGTACCCCCATGTTCATAGAAGCACTATTTACAATAGCCAAGATCTGGAAACAGCCCAAGTGTCCATCAGTAGATGAATGGATAAAAAATCTGTGGTACATATACACAATGGAGTACTATGCAACTGTAAGAAAGAAAAATCTCCTAGTTTTTGAGACGACATGGAGGGACCTGGGGGGTATTATGCTAAGCAAAGTAAGCCAGTCAGAGAAAGACAAGTATCACATGATCTCACTTACTTGTGGAACATAATAAACAAAATAAGATGACAAATAAGATAGATCCATAGATGTGGAAGTGGGGAACAGACTGACAAACCTCAGAAGGAATGCGGTTTGGGGACAGAAAGAGATAAACCAAAGAATCTATAGGCATATATGCACAACCAATGGACACAGACAACAGTGATTAAGGGTGGGGGGAGGGTGTCAGTGGGGGAAAAAAGGAGGGACATCTGTAATACTTTCAACGATAAAGATTTTTAAAAAACCTCCTTTTTATCTCTGCCTCTTTAAGACCATTTTCTTCTTCTTCCTCCCTCCTCCGTGCCAGGCTCTGGGGGCAGCCCTTCTGAGGCCGAAGTCCCATTCCACCTGTCCCTTCTGCCTCCCTTAGTCCCGGATCACACTGGTCCCCGGAAGTGCCCCCCAGATCCGGACTCACTCTGTTAGCTCTGGGGGTGTCTGAGACCCACCTTGATCTTTTCTTTGCATTAAGCTTCATGAACATGAACTGCTTATGAATTTCCTTTCTCATTCTGGGTTAAAAAATGATTTGATTTATTGAATTACCAGCTCCAAGTGAATGGACACGATGCCCCTGGGATCTGCTGGTCAGAGAGTGGGACTTGGCCTGAGCCTCCTTCACAGAGAGCAACCGGGAAGAGCGCTTCATTGGAAGCCCGGTCACTGGCAAGTTATCTCTCCCCCATCTCTGGCCTCTGGGTCCCTCCTGTGACATGCCAGTTGGCCAGGGATTCCTAGGTCCTCTAGCCAAGGCCTCAGTGATGCTCTGAGGAGCTCTGTTTGTTGACATTCAAACCAATCGCACAAAGTGTTCAAATGTGTTCTTGTCAATATCTGAGCACAGCCAGGCAGCTCCAAGGACCCTGGCTCTGATGGGTCCAAGGGTGTGCTTCCCAGCTTCGGAAGTGTCCTGAATTACTGTGGGCAGTGGTTCCACGAGGCTTGACCCGAGCAGGCTCGACCCTTACACTCCGCCACAAACCTGTGACAGACACGCTCTCTTTGGATGGGGACCGCAGGAGCTCAGGGTTCCTGTGCATGAACCGGGCTCTCCAGGAAATCCCACTTCACAAACATCTCCCTTGTTCTTACTCTGCTTCTTTCATCAGCCCATCTCAACTAGACACCTGCTGCTTCGCACAGGCCCCCTGAGGGAATCCAGTGGCCACTTCAAAGGCCCGGAAGCTGAGTGACTGATGGTGATTTCAGACACCCCACGGAGCCTGCCCTTGAGACTCCCATAATTCAACTTTCAGGCCACACACAGCCCCGCCAGTAGTTCCCTTCCAGGGAGCTCCTGTTAATCCCAGTAGCCCCGTGCTAATCTGAGGGTCCTGGAGGGTGACCTGCCCATCCTGCTTTGCCTGGGAAGTGCCTGGTTTTACCCCTGAAAGTCCTCAGGAATCTCTCAGAACTGGACACATCAGGACATACCCATGTTCCTCAAACCCATAATGAATACATAACTGTATCATAACTCTATGATAATGCAGTTATGTCTGATAACTGCAGATTTCGGGGGTGGGTGATTCTGATCCACATGTTTTCCTGATCACACTAAGGAATACTGGTAAGAATTTATAAATGTACCATCCCTGGCCTTTGGCTACGGGTGGTTCTTGAACTCATCTGCACAACAGAATCATTGGGGAGCTTTTAAAAAATATTGATGTCTGGATTCTAATCAATGTAATTAGAATCTCTTCTGGAGCGGTCAGGGCATCGGGGTCATATTTGTAAAGCCCCCCCTCACACCTGAAGAACGACCGGAAAATGGAGCAGACACAATGGCCATTACTTCCCTTGGAACCCACAGCTGCCCCCTGGTGGCAGCCCCTGCACTATTTCCTCTCCTGCTAGAATACTGGAAATACACTTTGGAGTGCACGGTGGCAACATCTGCTGAAATGCGGACACTGTTACTCCTTGGTAAAATACATAAAGAAACTTCTGGAAAAGTGGATAGGAGAGATGTACGAGAAGATTAACTGTAGATTTAATTATAATGGCAAGAAACTGGAAACATTCTAAGTGTCTATCAACCAGAGAATGGATGCATAAAGAGTAACAGTATATTCACCCAACAGAATACTATACTGCAGTGAAAATGAACAAATCCGAGATACATATACCAACATTGGAACAAAGTGACCATAAGATTTTTCTAAAGTTTGAGGCTACTGTGATCACCTTCCTGGGGACTTGGAAGCTTCTCTTTGGCAGGCAAAGGGTTCCTGGGCATCCCTACAATGGCAATAAAATGGTTGCCTTGCACAGAAGCCTCATGCCAGCGGATCTGGCTCACATTGCTTGATCTGAGGAAATAACTTCATAATCCCATAAGAATTAAATTGTTTTTTTCAATCTCCAACTATCTGCATTGCAATCTAGATGTCACATGGACAGACATTTTAGAACTGGTTCCAGAGATTCTCTTAAACTGCTACAGATTCTCATGCTACATTCTCATTCATCATCCTCCTCATTGTCTACACAGAGCAATAAATCCATTAGAAACGCAGATGTGACCATGAAGCCAGGATGTCAAGGCTGCTCATCTCGTTCATTCTAAGGCTTTCCTAGGTTGTTGACACATGCTTATTTTTAAAAGGGCTGCAGAGCTTACCTGGGCCTAGTTTGGCCACGGCATAGAGGAGGTCGTAGTTGAGGACCTGCGTGGCATCACTGATGGGCTGCCAGCCAACGGGAGGAGATGCAGGGGGTGAGATGAGAAACTGTTTGGCGGGCTGTGGTGGAGCCAAATGCAGTTTGTCTCCGTCTGTCTCTGGAGTCTGAACCTTTCAGAGTAGAAATGAAGACGCATGAATTCATTATGGCTCAGATGTGCCACGTTGGCACACTAAGGAGCAGAGTCTCACTTTTAGCCTTAATAATTACTCTTACCACACACCAGGCGCTCAATTATCTTATTTCACTCTTAAAACAGTGGATCTCAACTTTTAGTGTGCACCAGAATTACCCGGATGGCTTACTAACATACACATTGCTGACCATATACCTGGAGTTTCTGACTCAGTAAATCTGGGGTGGGGCCCAAGAACTGGCATTGCTAACAAGTTACCAGGTGATGCTGAGGCTGCCAGCCCTAGATCCAACCCTCCTTCCCTTTCCTTCTTCCCTTTTCTTTCTTTTAATTGAGGCAAAATTTACATAACACGAAATTAATCATTTTGAAGTAAACAATTCATTGGCATTTAGTAGATTCCCAATACTTGCAGCCACCCTTCTGTCTATATCCCAAACATTTTCACCCTGCAAAGGAAAGCCTGCACCCACTAAACAGTCACTAGCATTTCTGTCTCCAGCCAGAACTTGGCAAGCACGGATCTGATTTCTACCTCTGTGGGTTTCCTGTTCTGACCACTTCATATAAATGGACTCACAGAACATGTGACCTTTTGTGTCTGGCTTCTTTCGTTTGGCATCCTGTTTTCAAGTTTCACCCATGTTGCAGCGTGTATCACTATTTCATTCATTTTTGTGGGTGAATAATATTCCACTGAATGAAGAGACCGCAATTTGTTTACCTGTTCACTCTGATGGACATTTGGGTTGTTGCTACCTTTTTTTGACTATTGTGAGTAGTGCTGCTAGGAACTTATGTATACATGTATTTGTTTGAGACTAATTCTCAATTTTTTAAAAAATATATACCTAGCAGATGGTAACTCTATGTTTAACTTTTTAAGGAATCAAGTGGGGTTTTAACAGACAAAGAAACTGAAGTTTCTATAAGTCACATGTTTTTAGCAGTGTGGGATATGAACATGGGTCTGAGGTCAAAGTCTAAGTTCTGTTTCTTTTTTAGTTTTTATTTTATTTTATTGTGGTAAGAACCCTTAATGTGAGATCTATGCTCTGAACAAACTTCTAACTGTGCAAATACACTGTTGTTGACTAGAGGTACATTGTTGCTCTAGAGTTTATTTATCTCATCTACCTGAAGCTTTATGCCTGTTGATGAGTAATGTCCCATTTCCCCCTCCCCTGTACCCGGCTACCACCATTCCACTTGTTGGTTCTATGAATTTGACTATTTTAGATACTGTATATAAATGGAATCATGCAATATGTGTCTTTTTGTGACTGTTTTATTCACTTAGCTAACGTACTCAAGGTTCATCCATATTGTTGCATATTGCAGACTGTTCACACTACCTAAAGTAATCTAAAGATTCAATGAAATCCTTATCAAAATCCCAATGACTTATCTTATATAAATAGAAAAAATTCTAAAATTCATATAGAACCACAAAAGGCCTAAAGAGCTAAATCAATCTTGAGAGGAATAGCATCACACTTCCTGATTTGAAAATATATTTGAAAGCTACAGTTATCAAAACAGTATGGTACTGCAATTTAGACAGACACAGGAAGCAATGGAGCAGAATAGCAAGCTCAGAAATATATCCACACATAGGGGTCAATTGTTCTTCAACAAGGGTGTCAAGAATACACAATCAGGAAAGGATAGTCTTCAACAACAGTTCTGGGAAAACTGGATGTCCACATGCAAAAGAATGAAACTGGACTCTTATCTTACTCTATACACAAAACTCAACTCAAAATGGATTATTAAAGACTTAAAATGTAGGATATAAAGCTGTAAAACTCTTAGAAGAAAATATAGGAGGAAAGTTTCATGATAATGGCTTGGTGATGATTTCATGGTGATGATGACATCAGAAGCACAAGCAACAAAAACTAAAATAAAAGCCCCGACCAGTGTGACTTAGTTGGCTGGATCACCATCCTGTACACCATAAGGTTGTGTGTTTGATTTCTGATCAGAGCACATACCCAGGTTACAAGTTCAATCCCTGGTCAGGATGCGTACAAGTGGCAACTGACCTCACATCAATGTTTCTCTCTCTCTTTTCCTCTCTCTTCCTCTCTCTCTAAATCAATAAAAAATTATTTAAAAAATAAATAAACAAGTGGGACCATATCAAACTAAGAGTCTTCTGTACAGCAAAGAAAACAATCAACAAAGGGAAATGGCAATCCACAGGATGAAAGAAAATATTTGCAAACCAAATATAGGATAAGGGTTAGTCCCCAAACATATAAGGAACTCCTATGACTCAACAGTAAAAAACATAAACAAAAACAAAAAATCCCCAAACTAATAACTCAACTAAAAAGTCGACTAAGGACTTGAATAGACATTTCTTCAAAGAAGACATGCAAATGACCAATAGGTGAATGAAAACAATGCTCAGTGAGCTCACTATCAGGAAAGTGTAAATCAAGACCACAGTGAGATATCAGTTCACACCTGTCAGGATGGCTATTTAAAACACACACACACACACACACACACTAATAATACACACACACACAAAAGATAACAAGTGTTGGAAAGAATCTGGAAGATCTAGAATCCTTGTACACTGTTGGTAGTTCCTCAAAAAATTAAAACTAGAACCACAATATGACCCAGCAATTCCACCTCTGGGTATTTATCCAAAAGCATTAAAATCAGGTTCTTGAAAAGATATTAGCGCTCCCCTGTTCACTGCGGCTCTGTTCACAACAGCCAGGATATGGGAACAACTGAAATGCCCTTGGACAGGTTAACAGAGAAGGACAATGGGGCGTATACATAAAACAGAATGCTATCAGCTCTGAAAAAGAAGCCAAGTTTATGTTCTTTTTCTTATGCCGTCTTTGTAGAATGGGAACAATGCTCACCGACCCGTAAGAGATGGATCAAGGTGCCTACTAATGGGACATGACGGACACTGATTTTCTAGTGTGTGGACCCTGTGTGCATTGCCAAGAACTGCCATCCATTTTTGGAATAGCCAGGATTTATTTTTGGATTCAGTAAAACAGAAAATTAATTTCCATAGGTGTGTAACCTTTTATTATAAATGTGATGTGAACCACTGAGAACGTATACAGTCCACTAAAACTGTCATATAATCTAAGTTCGAATTATAACCTTGCTGGGGTGTTAGGAACAGTTGGGATTAGAGCATTCTTTACATCTATTAACTGACATTTATTATGCATTTACCAAATACTAGGCACTTTAATACCCAATAATTCCTTTAACAACAGTATGGGGTATATAACATCATCCCCATTTTACAGAGGAGGAAACTGAGGCCCAGTGAGGTTAGGTCAGTTATTCAGGATAGATCCCAGGCACTCAATCCTCAGAGCCACTTTCTACATTTCTGTGCTGTCCTCTCCTGGGAATCATGACACAGGTTCATTTCTCGGTGGACTCATTATTGACTACATACCAATTTGAAAGTAGAAAAGAGCTCCATTTACATTTTTTAAAAGGCAAACATTAATGTAGGGCAAAAGGATTGACTTTGATAAGAATGACCTTACCTGTGCAAAGTAGAGTTTTAATTTTTTCCCTCTGAACTGGGTTTCATGAAGCTCTATCCTGGCTCGGGCTGCAGATTTGGGATTGCTGAAGTTTATTCGGACACGTCTGAAACTCTTAAATAGCTGGAACGTCACGCAGTCATCGTAAGTCCGGAACAGACCCTCAAATTTTTCCTGATCAGAACAAACACAGAGGAACATCCATTGGTCTTGCATCTTACACGACGCCTCATCTGACAAAAACAAATAGCTCAGTAAATGAACAGGCTATTCCTGACATAAAATTAAAACAGAACACTGGTCATGTGTTTTTTTTTTCTTCATTTGTCAGTCTGTTGCCAGGTGCTAAACATGCCTGAGGATTCAGTCACAGAATCCATGACCTGGCTCCAGGGATCTGTAGAATATAAGTGGGCGTGGTTTGAAGTGCATGAAAACCCTGAAAATGATGCAAAATATTTAGTAAGTTTCTGTGTACATGCATTTCTTCCTTGGGAGAGAGATCATAGTTGTCTTAAAGTTCTCAAAGAAGTCCATTATCTCCATAATGTTAGAGCTATCGAGTCAAGTATGCGGCAGATACGTTAGTGATTATCGATCTTGGGGCACTTTCCTTGCCTAAAGATATGGGAGTCCACACTCTCCAGCCCCTTCCGATCAGACAGTCCTCTGTGACTAGTTCTGGTCAATGAAATGTGTGCACAAGGAAGAAAAAAGCTCTTGAGAAAATGTTCAGTCTCTTTCCCCGATGATGGCACGTGTCCCAGATGGTACAGAGAAGTAAAAAGCAGGATTCTCCTTGGCCTGGGTCCCTGAGTGGCTGTGTGGAGTACATACCTTTCTCCCTCCCCTGACCCTGTCCTATAGATGACTTTGCCGTGACAAGGAGATAAATAAATGAATAAATGCCTCTATTGCATTAAACCACTGAGATTCGGGGATCATTTATTCCCGCAGCATAACCAAGCCTATCACAATACAAAGCAATCATTTAAAAAATTTGATTCAATGCAATTTTCAACTCAATTGAACAAATCTCTATTAAATGCTCACTTTGTACAATGCATGGTCTCTAGGAGGATACAGAGATGAGCATCATTTTGTTTCAACTCCCAACGATCTAACAATCTAATGCCAGAGGCAGACTTAGACACAAATAAGAGAATGCCCATATTATTGGGAGAAGACAGAGAGAACTAAAAAAAATTATATATTAATGCCATCTGTCTGGTTCTCTTAGCTTTGAAAGCATTCTAAGTAACAAAAACAGTGCCTGTTAAATTACTGAGTGTTCTTAACGGAGAAATTGCCACGAAGGAAATAACTTCTATTAGAATAAACTGCCCTGGCCAGTTTGGCTCAGTGGTTGAACATCAGCCTGCTAGGGGCATGTACCACAAAATAAATAAATAAACCCTGCTTCCTTTATTTCTATAGTAAAAGGTATTTTGTCATAAGAGTGAGTACACGTGGGAATGAAGATGCACAAAAGATTAATGCTATAAGATTCACTGAATTTTTATTTGAAAGGGACCTAAGGGATCGTTAATTCAACCTTTCCCTCCTCACCTCTATCATTTTACCAACCAGGACTCTGAGGTCTGAAGAGATCAGGACCCTGCCATGGTCACATGGCCAGTTAGTGATAGATCCACGGCCGGCCAGAGTCCTTGTGACCCTGAATACAGAGATGCTTTCAACTGCAGAAAAAATTACACTCCTAGGTTAAGCTTTAATGAGAACAAGAGTTGGATAGCAATAGGCTGACCCAAGGCTCATGTGCAACCACACCCACGAGGATCAACAATGTGATGTGGGTTTGCAACATCACTTCCTTCTCAGGTTGCCCCGGAAGAGGAACTCACAGGTCAGAGAAGAGCTTCTTGGGTCTCTGGATGAACTTGTCTCAGGCTCTCAAGTCCTGTTGTTGCCCATTGTTGAGATCCCCCAGGGGTGGCCCTCTGTAGCCCCCCAGTTTTGACGCCTGCGTCTGCACACGCTCTTTTGTGCCGTATCTAACAGTCCAGACTGCAAAGGACACTCAAGGCAAGTGTTTTTGTTTGTCTCATGACATGGATGGAGATTTGAGGGGTTCTTTCTGCCCTTTCCAGGCTCTGCTCTTATCCCCCTTTTTCTATCAGGAGCAAAACAAGGATCTTTCCATGTCTGATCCTTGGCAAGTTTTCCTCAACTCTCAGGCTTTGGGATCAGCCAACTCCCAGGCCTGGGGCCTGAACCCCACCCCCTCAAGGGGGCTCATTAAGGAATTCTTTCCCAATAACACTGTGCTTTTCTGAACAAAAATCCTGGTAAATATGATGCTTTCTCGTTCCTAACAATGACAATAGTCTCAACTGGTCAGATCACAGCTGGTGGTTTGATTAATGTGGGGAATTTTTAGGAATAGAAGGAATTAAGATATTAAAAACTCTTATTGCTACACATATAGAGAATCATCTGTTTTAGGACAAAATTCTTGGTCACCTCTGTGGCTCTATTTCTCCGTTTCCAGTTTGGGAGTCCCACCTCCCTATCCCCACCCCGGGCCTCAGCATGAACATTAAGGTTAAGATAAGACGGGGTGGCGGGGCGGGGGGAACGAACGGGTGCTCCTTTCATTTGGGTCCGACTGCTCTGCATTCTGTATCTCTGCTTAATGCTTCCCATCTCAGCGCTCAGAGCTGTTTGGCCTCAAGGGCCTGGATTAGGAGAAAGGGACCAAGGAGTCCTGGCCCTGGGCTCAGGGGAGGGTGACAGTCAATGGCCTACGTGCTGCCTGTTGGGGGGCCCTGGCAGATGTCACTAACAATTGCACTTTTCTCTCCCCTGCTCCTCAAGAGAGGGCTCCAGGCAGCTACCACGATCAAGCTGCAGTTGGCAAATGACAGAAGCCCCTTTGACATCCCTTGTCTGGGGCCTAAGCCCACAAATGTGCCACCGAGAACTCAGAGGCCAGGGTTTTCCCTGGGCATCTGGGTCCCACACTCTGCAATGATAATGATAATAGACAAATAGCATTTCCTTGGCGCATTCTCTCTGCACAGGTCTTTGGGGAATTTGTAAGGGCGGGCGGGGGTGGGGTGAGGTAGGGTTGGGAGAAGTGGGGGTGAAACCTGGCCAAGAATGAGGGACCTGCTGCCATCTCTGTTTTTCTTCTTTTTTCATTTAATGACATGACACACATTTCAGTGGCTTAGGCAGTATGACACCAGACCAAATTGCTTGGACGCAGATCTACTACAGTGACCCCACTGTAGGTAACCTTGGCCAGAGGTACCCTTGGGCAAAACAGTGAACAAAGCCAGCTGCAGGATCCTCCACCTGCCCTTCCAGCACACCTTCTGTGGTTTTCTTATTTTTTCCTTATTGATTTTTTTTTTTCAAGAGAGAGAGAAAGGGAGAGGGAGAGAGCGATAGAAACATGGATGAGAGAACAATGATTGGCCGCCTCCTGTATGTCCCCTACTGGGGATCAGGCCCACAGCCTGGGCATGTGCCCTGACCAGGAATCGAAACCGGTGACCTCTTGGTGCAGGGTCCACGCTCTACCACTGAGCCACACCGGCCGGGCTCTCGTGTGGTTTTAATGCTCAGGTTCACACCAGGCACACAGCAATATTTTGCTGACCACTGCCTGCTGGTTTTCTCCAGTCCGGTACCCCACAAACCTGATAAGTCCCTCATTTCCTCAAAAACTAGTTTTCTTTGTAGCCATTGGTTTAAATAAAGTTCAGCCACTGGTCCTGAAACTGGTCTCAGGGCCCTGCTGGACTAACATTACAGAGGATCCTAAAGAACTTTTAGGAATGAGGGTTTTATCTATCAATGTTTATTGCACTAGAAATTGAAGCAGAGACATTAAAAACGATTTATTTGTAAATCCACTGAAAGTAATCATAATAAACCCATTCTATGTTAAAATAGTCTCTTTATGAAAAATAACCTTGGCAAAACAAGAAAAAATTGAGTAAGAAGATTGGCATTGTTTTACATGTTTGCAAATTTCTGTAATTTCTAACTTAACAGAAGATGCCTGGAACCTCAGATCTGCTTCTGCGTATTCGATCAGTGAACACTGCCGTTCTGTCTGCAGGGCACGAAGAAAAGCTCCATTCCCCCAAATATGTGATTGGAAAAGGGAGGAGGATTTTAACAGCCTTGCAAATAATCGTGAATATTCTTCCCTGGTACATCATTAAAATTCAACAAGTGGAAGTTTTTAGAAGTGCATTGTAATGTTGAATCTGAAGCCACAATCAAATAACATCTTTTATTTAATTATATTAAAATCCATTTATCTATTTTTATAGTTAATGGACTTTTTAAAAACTGTGTATGTTCCTGCAAGAGTGTGCACTTGTCATTTGGAAAATACTGACTCCCCGAGTTATGCGGCTTTTCCAAATGTCAACACATTTCATTAAACAGTATCAAAAATGCCATTTGTTAACATTACCACCTATCTCATCCAATTATTTAGAGATGGCAAAGCTGTCAGGTTCGTGTTGGTGGAAACACATTTTCCAAAATTCTAGTGGTTGCTAGAAAGTTTATTCTCTTTATTGGCAACAAACACTGCTGTTTATTTGTCCTGAAGTAACATGCTCACTCATTCATTTTCGAGAAAATGGCTGCCAAATATCGAGGTCTGCAAACTGTAGTTGGTCTGTCAGTTGTTTTCCAAGTCAAACTGAGAAAAAGAAGGGCCCAGTTCAGCTTCAGACAGCTTAGCCTGTCCCCTCGGGTCAGCCCTGTGTCTTGGCATGTTCGGTGTAAACTCCCAGTGTGTTATTCAGGTTACTAAAAAGGTACAAGGGTAAAGAGTCAACAAAATTAATTTTTACTGTTCTATCAAGGGCATTCTTATGTCAAACTGGCATTTTGTTTCTCACTTTCCTTTTCCTTTTTTTTCCAAAACCATGAGCATGTGGCTGTGAAGAATACACGTCCCACCCGTACGGTTTGCCGCCCCTGCCCTGATTCACACCATAAAGACCCGCGTTCATGCACCGTGGGTGTGAATGCCAACATGGTTGGAAAGGCAGGCGTCTTAGTATTAGTATGATGGAGACAGCTGTGACCTCAAGGGCAATGGTCTGGGGCATTCCCAGCAGTCTGCTGACCACTCTCAATAGAATCTCAGAAAAAGTAAGGCTTTGTTTGGCTTGGGGTGA